ATTAACAACTTTAACATAGATAGTGTATTAAAAAAAAATTACCCATGTAATTTCACAGCAAACAGTGATAGAAACACTTCCAGTCATTGGCAGTGTTGTTATTATTTTTTATCAATTATCCAATCAGGGCACATGTTTTGTAAATTCATAGTATCAATGTAATTTCTACTGTAATTTCTACTGTATTCTCAAATTAATAATATTACTGCAAAATGAGCAAGTTAATTTCAAAATTATTAAAAGGAGCAAAGGAGGCTATTGTTTTTGCCCATGTTCTTTAAGCTGTTGTCGTCGTCATTGTTGTTGTCGTTGTCGTCATTTTTGTTGTCTTCTTTGTTGTTGGGTACTGTAAATTGTTTGTTACCACGATAACTAAAGTTTTGTAAAGTGTGATTGGTTTTAAACTTCACAGAATGCAAGCTGGTAATAAGAAGACAGAGCCTATTGTTTTTGGGGTGTGTGTGTTTATGCTAATTGCATAATTAATATTTCATTAATGAGGAAATTTACCATACCATCATCATAATTTCTAAAAAACTTTAAATTTAGTTGAAATTGTAATATTCTTCATGTTGTCATTGTCACTGGTGTAGAAAATTGTTTGTTACCATCTTACATGATAACTTAAGTTTGGTAAGACTAAGACTGATTGGCTTCAAACTACTGCTCATCAATTCTCAGAGAAAAATCACAATGTGGGGAGGCTATGCTTAAAATTCCTATGCAGCATAAATGGAGCATTTCTAGATTTTTTATAATAATTTTTGGACATTTTCAGGGAAAATACATTTTTAGAGTTAGGTTTTTAGGAGCTCTAATGCCTTCTGTGACTTTTAGATTAACAGAAAAGCCTACTACTGCACCATTATTCAAATAATATAGTACTTTACTTTAGTAGATTTAGTAAACCTCATAAACATAATAAGATAATCTAGGAAAAGCATATTTTAGTAATTTTGGTAAAACGAGTTTCTACTTTAATAATAGGTGTTTGTATGGTTGATTGATTGACAGCAAAATTACTAATATTGACAAGGCTGCCAACTGTAGATAACAAGTACATGCATTTTACATTTGATCATTGTTGAACTCAGAAATCAATCTGGTTATAGGTTCAAAGGTGAGCTTTCAAGAGTCTTCACAAGGTGCTAGTTAACAGTATCTGACAGATTTACTACCTCTTAAAGTTATTGTCCAAATTTTGTATTACAACAGAATGAAACTAATTGAATTTGATGCGGGTGTCTAACTACAAGGGTGGAAGATGTTTTAAAATGAAATATTGTTCAACATTTAAGAGAATATTGATCTTTGACCTTATTTATAAGATTTCCAGCCCTTTGGGTGCTAAAACTAGCTGAATATTTAGTATTGGAACACTCAATGATTGAATATGGGAGATTTTAATTCTCATCAATTAAATTTCTTGGTGTGAAATCAGATGAAAATCCCTCAGAGTGTTCATATATATTGATTCTTGACACATGTGAAGTAAAATAGAAATTCCACTGTAAAATGCTAGTCACTGGTTCATAAAATTAACAAGATAATCACATTTACTGTATTTTCAGACACAAAAGTCGTAAATCTGAAGTTGAGAATTCTCCAAACTGTTGGAATACATTTTAAAGAAAATCTTTATTTTGGAATGAAACAAAGGTGTTATGATGATTACTGTAGGATGCTGGAAGTTGTTGGAATTGGGTATATTTGTTTGGGAAAAATATGTGGTACTTTAAGACCCAATATTGAGAATAATGTACTCCAAATCATATGAAGACATTTACAAACAATACTCGGATATCCAGTAAGAATTCTCCAAACTGTTAGAATGCATTTAGTTTAAAAGGTTGTATTTTTAGAAACATATTCATAAAAACAATGCTCAAATTGCATTGTTAAGAATTCTTAAAATTGTTCACATAAATTTTGTATTAGATCTTTATTTTGCAAGACAATACTCTTGTGAGTTCAATAATCTATCTTCTAATATTCTATATTGGAATTTTTTATTATACCTATAAAATATTATGTCACTACAAGATATCGTCATTGTAAATGCCAGGAAGTGTTTTCAACTAAAATTTGTGTTTTTAAGATGGACCTGGGGAATGAATAGTTTGAAATGTGAAATATCAATATCAAAACTATAAGAATATATTGCATTTCATCCAGTCAGTTGCTTTTAATACATTATAAAAAAATATTTTTTGTAATATCATATTTAATATCGTACGTGTTTAATATTTATTTCAACTATCTGTACTAGTTTTTCCAGAGGTTACACCTCCAATTAAACATTGAAATTACTTTTATATAGTCAAGAAATTGATATCCATCTGTTAAATTGTATGTTTAATCACCTCCATGGTTTAATAATTTGTATAATGTTACAGATTATTATTCGTGCCTCACAGAGAAACTATAGGCAAATGGATGATCAAATCAACTGAACCTGACAAGTGGCATTCTGCTCTATTCTGTAAAAAGTAGTAGAGAAGTGTGTACATGGGTGGATGGGGCAGGATGGGGGAAGATGCTGAAAATGATGAAAAAGTACAATTTATTTTGGACTGTTCTATTATACAGTAATTACCTATCATACCAAAATACTGTGCAGCTTATACTACAGTACACTAGCTAGGGGTTTTTCCCCAGACCCCATCTGAGTCCTTACCTCTTGACTCTACTGGTGGGCTCTATGCATTTGCTTTAACAAAATAATTGGTATAGTATTACATAGTAGGGCTATAAAAATATCATCTCACTAATCTTAATTAATAATGATATATCAGAAATGATCTCCTTTCTAATTCCATTGTCAAATTTTATTACCATATTAACATGTATGAATTGTCTGTCATGTTTTTTTGTTGCTGTGTTTTTAGTCCTCAGTGGAAGATGAAGGACAGCAGCATATTCGATTATTGTTTTTAGTCCACAGCAGGAGATGGAAATGTATTCCACTATTGATTGTGTGGTTAGCTGTGGATAGCATTCAGTTATTAATACCTTCTCCATTGATTATATCATGAATCTGTAGACAAGGTGGAGCTATGATTGTTAGCTAACTGGTGTCTCCTAAAAAAAAGAAAAATGCATACTGACGAGTTTCCACGGTTGACGTCGTAATTAATATCAGGCTCGCATTCATTCCGTTCCTTTTAAAACATCAATAGCTTTTAAATTTATTAAATTTCTACATTGTGACGTGTGTCCACATACAGAATCCTATCTTTAAAAGGACTTAGTGCTTTAAACAGGGTTTGATGATTGAAATGCAAGTCTTTAAAGAAAGACAGTGAGTGATTTCCTGCATCATATGTGTACTGTAATGTTTGTTGTTACCTACAGTATTCTTAACCAACATAATTTCTAGTAATTTTCGTACAGTATTCTAGATTCTTCCTCTTCCATTGAACTCCTTTTTTTTCACCATGATCATGGACAGGATTGCCAAAAGTGAACTGCTGTCTCTTATACACATCTAGATGTGTATAAGAGACAGGAGTTAGACATTATGTTGTGTTTTTGCCGACGCATACCTTTTAGAAGTCATTGGGGATTTGTTATTAGGCATTTGCAAAGCATTTCTCGGGCAAAATTAACAGAAGACATCGCCAATGATAGCATATATGACGTTCTTAATCCTGTTAGGTGCATTTCTTCACCCAAGCACGCACCAATATGCCCCAAGGTAGAATCATCCATTACGCATTCTCCAAAATTTGTGTTCCTACATTTTAGCATGAGCTTTAAAATAACTAGGGAATACAACAGCAAAATTCTAGAGCCAGATAAAATAAATGTTGAATAATAAAACAAGAATTCATACAAATTTGCCAAATGGCATCAGGCCTATTCTTTTTTTTTTAATTCTATTATTATAATTATGTTGCTGGAATGTATATACAGTAATACAGAGAATAGAAAAAAAATGTTGTTGTTTGCTAGGTTTTATTAGATAATAAAAAATATGAATTTCATGAAGACCCATTATTAGCTGTCAAACATGTTCCTATTCAGAGGTTTATCATTTATTTGATGGCATTATGAATGAAAATCTAGTTGTTTTTTTTTTGTTTTTTTTTTGTAATTTATTGCAAATGACCTTGAGCGATGATTGGTTTTGTACTGGATTGATATGTTTTGTGTCTATATGAGGAATCGTTGACAGTGGTGATATTGAAAAATACATCTAAAGCTTTTTCTATGTTTTTATCAGATGATAATTTAATATCGTTATTTTTTGGGGATTGATCCTTAATTATATTTAAAATTTAACAGGGAAAATAAATACAAAATTTTATATAATAGGTATTGATTAAATTCTGTACTTATTCTGTAGTTATTAATTGTACCTTTAACTATACAGAATACAGAACTTTTATTGGTCTTTTGAAAGTAAATTACAGTACAAGAAATTACTTCGTTGTTGGCAAACCATATAAAAAAAATCACTACAGAATACAGTACAAAATTAAAAATGGTATACAGTATTCGAAAAACAACAAAACATTAAGCAGAATATTTAAAAAAAATGTTACATTAGGGTTAGTTACTGTAAACATCAAAAATATTCATTTAATTATAAGTAGAAATAATAAATACATTAGTTGAAATTGCACTTCAGTTATGAGTATAAAAATTACTCATTCATGAGTAATTGTTTAAATTTCAATTAAACTATTGTAGAAAATAAATAGAAAACCTTTGCCCAATTAAAGAAATGATTATCATCCCCACCCATGTCTTCCATAGTATTGGAAAAAAAAAAACATCTTGCTGCCTAGATACAGTAGGATGATAAACTAATCATTTTTCTTTAGAGCCTTTTGTACAATGTTGTACGGGTGTCATATGTAAGAACTTTGGAAAGTGCATCTAAAAACCTTGAACATATATTAAACATTTAAAAAAAAATTAGAATATAATATAGAGTACAGTAAATGTTAATTCTTTCAGTAGATAACTTTACATTTTCATTTTATTTTTTTCAGGTATAAAGGCTCAAATGTTCTATGTACGCAACAGTCAGGTGAATAATTATGCACTTGGCTTCAGCGTACGTATACCAGCCGACATTAACAGTCTCAATTTTACGTGGGAGTCATCAGACACACCACAGGTATGGGTATTTTATCTGTTACCACTTAAATCCAAATCTTGATGTCTAATTTGCACAAGTTTATTATTATTGTTAATACGATTTGAGTTAGCTCAGGTTTTTTCATTTCATTTATTTCGTCCAAAGAGCATTAAAATTGACAAACACAAAATAATAGAGAGCAAAAAACAACACTCAGTTGGCTGGACAGGATTGCCAAAAGTGAACTGAATCTGTGTAGTGGCTCTCCAATGATTTTAATTATAATGATGTTTAACCTGTTGTAATACTGTATAATATACATGTAGCTAGCTTTACTATGCAATTTGTATCTTCAACTTTATATTCAACATAAATATTTGGATTTATATCTATGAATTTTTTTTTTTTTTTGTGTGTGTGTAAAATCCACCCTTTAATTTGAGATCACATTTTGGACCCTTGTGGTCTCATTTTAGAGGATCAGCTTTATTTTTATAAGGTTATTATTATTAGTTGATTCTTTGAAAAAAAAATAGTGGTTTCGAATAGTTATCACACCAATCCCCACACATAACTCAGTGCTCAAGTCTAATAATATTTTGTCGAAACTTGTGGCTATGTTTAAAATGCCGGAAATCCATAATTCTAAAAATATGAAGGGCCTTTTACTTTAATTATAATTCGAAGATGATCAAATGTTCTTTTTTTATATAACATAAAAAAGTTTATAAAATATTAATCAATCGATAATTATTAATGCTGCTATTGATCTGGTGTTGTATGTAATGTATGTTTATTGTTTTTTGTCATTATAATCCTTATCAATATCATTTAACCAATATAGGTGTCATACAAGATAGCTTTGTTCACACACAACGCAAGTATCTTAAAAACACCACAATTAAGCATTCCTCTCGAAGGCAAGATACCCAAAACAAAATCAGGTAAGTTAGCAGGCAATGGCTACCGTAATTACATATGACAACTAATTAGTTTCTAACTGGTTCAAGATTTGTTTCAATTTGATCCAGTTTGCTTTATCCAAGGAATTGGTAAGGCGTCGTCCATTTTTTATCATTCTCAACACTGTATAAAAGATACGTTGTGTGTGTGACCCCTTCTTTCCCTTTAAAGGCTACCCCAGGGTCCCGAGTTGAAAGAAGTCACTTCGGGGAGGTCTGGTTAAATGACATTTCTTAACAAATCTAATGAATATTTTGCTGTGCACAGGGATATCCATCGGTATTGATCTTTGTGAGAAAATTGATAATAAAGTAGTAAAAACATGCAAATATTATGAATTTGCAGGAGTTTTCCATGGAGCAATCCAAATTGGCGCATGCAGGTTAAATAGCGATGCAACACAAACGCAACCACGCTAACTGAGTCACTCTCCATTAAACAGTTACATATCAATGAAAACACGCCGCACTGCAAACAGAGCTTCAATCACAATTGGAAAAATGGATTCCTAGTTTTATTTTTAAAGCATACTATCTTGTAATTGGCGAGTTAGGAACTTCGGTAGGATGTTGAAAAAAAATTAAATAAAAAATTCATTATCTGTTGACTATACACCATTTTCGCCAAATTTGAAATGAAAATTTCCGACAAACTGGCAACTACCACTGGAATTTTGCTCTATGTTGTTGTCAGTGTTTATCTGTGCTGTGACCGGTACACGACCTTCGTGTTGTAGCGAGTTTGTCTAGCCAAGGCTTGTCTTTGAAAACATAATTCCAAAATGAAAAGAATAGAAACCAGGGGCGTATCTGCAGTTTTTTTTGGTTGTAGAAGTACTCAAAAGAAGATATGATTCTGGAAAAAAAGGACAATTGATCAGGCTATGCTGCTGGAAGTCCCCCAGTGAAAAGGTGCGAGTTGGTGGTGGCGCTCTTTCAAAATAGACCAGATAAATTGGTGTATAGACTTTACTTCTGTTGAAGTAATATTTTTGGTTTTCTAGACAATGTCATTTTGAGCATTTCAGACTGCTATCTCTTCTCACTAGATACTGTAGTATTGCAGTACATTTTATCTATAGCAGATTGTGGTTTTGTTCGTAATTATTTAATTTTCTGTTCATTTATTCCTTTTTCTTTATCCAACATTATCTACAACAGCTCAAGCACAATCTCCTGACATTATCCTTGGCATAAATATGTCTTCTATAATATTATAGAATATTACTATGGTATTAGGTAATGATCAAATAATGTACAGTATTTTACTGTATAGGAAGTAGAGACTTATACAGAAGGTTCTGTTTATATAATTAGATAAGAATTGAGAGTTTTGCATTGTTGATACACATAAGGGCCCTCATAAGGTCATATTGCCTCTATCAGTTGTTTTATCAGTACTGTATGTAGGCCTGTAGCCTCTACTTCTGTTGCAATTACCCACTAATGGGTTGAATATAGCATCACTTTGATATAGCAATTGAGTCCTTTTATATCCAAGTGGATTATGTTGATGGTTCATGATCATGGTACAATAAAAGTCTACAGAATTACAAGTTATTACTGTCGCAATATTTTTTAGTGAGACTTGATGCACGCAATAAGGTGTGGATCAACTGCATTGGCTCTGTGCCAACTTTCGAGGGCAGAGTTAAGCAATTGTTTGTCTGGGATGAAGATCTCCTTAGGAGAGAAGTGATGTTTTTTTCAGTGAGGCGAGACTTTAACTCATGCAATTAGGTACGGATCAACTTGATTGGCAGTGTGCCAACTTTCGTATGCCGAGTTAAAAGCGGTTGTTTGATTAGAATGATGAAAGACGTTCTGGGAGATTCTGGGGATGTTTAATCAGGCATTGATTTAAATGAAAAAAGAGGATGTTTGCTCCAAATGTCAACAACATTATGTGCCTGTAAATATGAGTTAATGATTTTCACTTAAATATGTGTCTGGTCTTAATATTCTACAAACACGTCACTATCAGTTTCATTGGATTGGATTGGATTGGATTTATTTGGTGTAAACACCAAGGATAGCCCACGAAAGTCTAGAAGAAGATTTGTTTCCAGTGGGTTCATTCTGGTGGTGATTGGGCAGTACACCGGTAGACAATCCCCTACTCTTTTCCAAAGAGTGTACTGCGTTCTTTAACATGCACATGGGCCATTGATGCACACAGGACCAATGGCTTAAACGTCTCATCTGAAAGACGGTGCGCTATTGTAACTTGTATTTCAGCCCTTTAGCTGAAACACAAGGAGAGGCAGCGAGGGGAATTGAATCGGGGACCTAGAGATCTCCACGGTTCAGCGCACACACAGTGGCTACCACCAGATTAGCCGACTGAGCCAAGCTGCTTTCTCGTAAATTCATAAATGTATGCCATTATTCATTAACTGTTTACTCATGGGTATTTATTAATTTATTCTGTAATATTGTTGTTATTTAAATTATTGTATAGAACTACTTATTTTGTTTAATATTTTTTCCAGTTAGAAAGAGCCAATAACTTGAAAACCATCCCTCATTTCTCAAAATATATGTTAAAATAAAACCCATATGAAATACTATATGTGTAACATTAACATTTTTTAATGTAAAAATCAATTAAGTTCATATAAATTGACATAATATTTTCAATTCTGTACCACCAGGTGTGCAGAATACTTTCGGCTTTGATATTTAAACACATTTTATTCATGCGATTATCCACATATTGTAGGTTCGTAAGATTGCTTGTGTGTTAGTGTTAATGTTCTAGTAGAGTAGGGATAAGCCTGATGAAAAATAATGAATTTTGCTACTTTTGGGCTCACATATATTATTACCTCTTTTAATTTGAATTTTTATTTCTTTGCTGATGATATTCGGCTTTGGAAAGAATTAAATCGTGATGATGATAATGACATCACGTCCACTATTACCTTGTTTGAATCCTGTTTAACAGCAATTTCTGAGTCGTCCCAACTCATGAAACTTAAACTTAACTTTAGTAAGACTGAACTTATTTTTATTTCTCCAAGGAGTTGATCTGTGCCTGTCTCTAATATTCGAATTAACTGCAGTGATACTATACTAAGCCTATCTGATAATGCTCAAAATCTTGGAGTCATTTTTGACAAGCATTTAGATTTCTCTAAACTACATTTTGTCTATCTGCAAATCTGGTTATTTTCACCTTTGTAGAGTTTGTTCCATTAGGCCCTATCTTACATCTTCTACTGCCACATTAGTACATGCATTTATTACATGTAGGATTAATTTTTGTAACTCGCTACTTTTTGGTTTGTCTTCTGGTAATCTTAGGCATCTTCAACTTACTTCAGAACTCTGCCGATCTTCGTAATATCACTTGTCCTCAGTTATTTTTTACTCAACTTAAAACCTTTTTTTTGTAATTTTCACTAATCAGTTCATTGGATTCTTCTGCTGCTGTTTTTCAATTTTTCTCCTAGCGTCGGTGGAAAGTTATTTTTTAACTTTAATAGGGACCTTATAAGTTTTATTGCATTATTATTACATGGAAGATGAATTAGGCAGAAGTGGCAGATCCAGGAATTCAAAATAAAGGGGGTAGTGGGGGCAGGGATGGACTTTTAACAGAAGGAGCTGTACAACACTGTGATGAATTTCTGGTAGTGGTCCAGAAAAACTAAAATTCTGCTCTGTAAAGCTTGTAAACTGTGTTTTCCTCTTTTGTTGAGTGCAATTTCCATGGCCAATTTGTGGGGGTGGGAGTGCATGTGCTCGGTCTGTCTGCCATGGTAGTCTTTTTGATGAAAAGGGTGCTTATTTTTCAATACCCCTCTTGCTTGTCTAATATCTGTGTCTAGTGAGGCTTTAGTCTAAAAATAGGCTTCTGATAGGAGCATGAGTATACTGCACACACCATTATCAGACAAGTTGCTATCAGCCACCACAGCATGAACTTAAATGAACCTTATGACATTCCATTTTACAGAAAAATTTCACTACCACAGCATAGAGTGTATCTGCGCAAGCGCAGTCTACTAAAGACATTACGAGGAAGTTTTTGTTGTTGAATTACTATGTTATTTTTTTAAAAATTTTATTCTCTAGAATGTTTTGGCAAATTATACCACTATATTATATGTGTATACAAAATGATCCATGTAATTCACATTTTGCTCATTGGGAACTCATGCAAATCCAAGTTAATATTAATTACAAACAAACCATGAATATATAATTTAGCAGCCTGTATACTCCAACCTTGTTGATCTAAATTTAAACCACTTATTGTTAAGTATATCTAGAATGATGGTGTAGCATCTCCAGGTAAGAATGATAAATGCGTTTGAGCATGGCACATGTAGGGCAGATGTTCACATTGCGTCAGTTACATTATCATCATTACCCCTTCGGCGTTATCATCATTCTGTTAGCGTCCTTCTTTCGACCGAAAAGCTTCAAAGATTTTAAAGAAAACGAAGCTAGGTTGAAATGTTATTTGGCAAGTTTGTTATCACCGGTGAATTCTAACGAGACAAGTAATCGATAAATACGGAGATAAAGATGTACATGTTGATTTATCTAGAAATGGAAGATGATAATCTGAGACAATCTTGGAAAGTGATAAGCATTTTATTTTTCAGTTAACATAGCTTTCATTTCTACATCACTCATTTGCATCGGTACAAACGAGTGCATTTCTTATCAAAAAAATTAGTAACTAGTTTTACAAATTGATTAATCACTTACTAGAAATGAGATTTTTAGCATAATTTCATCGTGAAAAAAAGCAATAGCTTTAGGCTTCTATCAACTTTCCAGTCACATTTTCTTGATAAATTATCTTTGTTTTTCATTTTCTTTGTATGTTCATTATGTTTTATTCATTTATAAGACTCTAGCATAATTGAGTAAATCCAGGAGTAACTTCATATGATTCAGTAATGAATTTTATTTTTGTTCACTAACTTCAAAGCTATAAAATTAGATTATTCAATATAATTTCATTTCAATTTTTAATCCCATCAAAATTGAGACATAAATAGCAATTATGAGTGTGCACATTAGGACATTTGGTTATATAAGATGATTCATAGTAGATACACGTTCATTTTCTAATCATATTTTCATTCTTTTTTTTTTAAGTAAAGGTAGAATAATAATTTAAAAAAAATATACATCAAGCATACAAATTGATATTTACAGTGAAAGAATACTAACTGTGCTAACTAGAAATCTTTAAATGGATCTCAAATTATACTTTTGCTTTTCAAATTTAAAATTTAAGATGTTCTGCCTGCCTGAAAAAATTGGGAAATAGCTTAAAAATTAATTCAAATAGAGTTTGGAATATGTTTAAAGATCAAATATTGTAATTTTAATCTTTCAACTAGAAAGATTTAAAAAATATGCTTTTCTACTAACATCCCTAAATTGATTACCAGCCAATTTAAAGCGCTATGCAAAAAAAGACATTATTTAACTATGGTATATGTTAATACTTAATAATAGAGATTTTATTTTCTTTAAATTTTTATTGCAAGTTAATAACATACTTACACAAATTAGACAATCCAATTATGAATTTTGATTTTTAATTCTGTTTTTAGCTCATGACAGTACATTAACAGGCGTTCCAACCCCTAGACCTGAAAAATCGGTAGACGGAAGAATTAGAAGGTGAAGGGCGCCCCCAAACCCACCAATTAGTGAAAAGCGCCCTAAATGTTGAAATATTCTGGTAGCATTGACGTCTCTCGTGGTTTATAAACGTAATTTATAAGATACCTATTGGATTTTCATTCATGTGGCCTAGTAATTTTACCTATTTTATCATGCAAATCCCATGTTTTTTAACTGGCAGTACAAATTTGTGAGACTGGAAGATCATGTAAATTTGGGAGGCTCCTATCGAATCGGGAGGGTTGGAACCTCTGCATCAATAAGTATTAAAAGGGGAAAACAAATTTAAATTAAAACACTGAATTTCTCATTTAAATTGATTAAATTGGTTATTGACTTCCAGTGACTTTAGCACTGATCTAGTTTTTCTGATTTACAGACCTTTTAGCTATAAAAATCCTTAAATTGATTCCAAGCCAATTTAAAGGTCTTGTGCTTGGAATATAGTCATCATTTTTTATGTACCTGATACACCTATACTGCTACACTGACAGTAATTGACAATGATTTTTCTTACTTGTTTTAATTTTTAAGTAAAACCTAATATTTTTTTAGGAATTCTATTGTTTATACGTATTTTTTTTTATGTAAACGTACAGTAATTCACAATTCAGTCCTTTTTTGGCTGCCATGTCTTATGTTTTTAATTATTTTGATTGAATAAATACCATTAATACTGTATATAAATATTGAATTTTATCTCAACACATTATGTGGTTCTTTATGGATCTACTTAGTTCTGGTTGAGTTAGTGCTAAAATATTTGATAGATAGTGAGTGGCTATATATGTACAGGATACCCCATTATAGAAGATGAATGTTCCTACCATTGGGTTCAGCATGGGGGAACCCACCCTGAAGGCCAATTAGAACTTGTTAGTCAACTCGTTAACCAGCTTGTTACCTTAGCACCTGCTTGTGTATAAGGCCTCTAGGCCTTCTACTTTGCAAGAACCCTTTACAAACATCATCAAGGATATGTTTTTATGAACTGTGACAAGGCCGTAAGGGTTAATAGCTTTCGTATTTTATGTTCGAATCAAGGAAGAAGCTTGAAAGTAGTTCATTTCCACTTGTAATATTAAAATATACATAGTATATAGAAAATATAAGTACTGCATATTTATAAAACTAAGTCAATATTAACTTTATATTAGTGTACTATTAGACATGAGGTACTGTAAAACAATTACAAATTTTAATTCCACATTTAATTGTTTAATTTTATTATTAAAATAATTAAAAAATATTCACCAGTTGGTTTTCTTCAGACAGTTTCAAATAATAACTTTCCTGTATTCTTTTGCAGATCTTAGCTGTTAATCAATTTAAGGATTTTTGTAGGCAAATAATTCATTAGATCCTTGCAAATGAGCTATATAATTTTTTTTTTTTTTTGAAATTTTGGAGATATTTTCCTGTCTAATGATTATACATCTCTTATAGAGGAGAGTTCAGATTTGCTTCCAATACAGTAAAGTTTATAATATTTTAATTAACTTAATCTTTCATTATTTACTGTAGTGTTCAAATAATCATCCACCTTCAGTCAAATCAAATCAAATGGTCATTCTTTGATATTCTGATAAAAAAAAACAAAAAACCACACCAATACCATGGCCGCCCAAGAGGTCCGCATTCAACAACAAAACAATCAAGTAACAAAATATGTGTAAATATCAAATATATGTAAAATCAAGGTTGGTGGTTTATTCTTTTTAAATACATTTAAAGTAATGTGCCAAATATGCAATGGATATGGGAGATTACTCTGTAAAGTTAATTTCACTTGAGACGGTCTTTGTGGAACCAGAATGTCCGGAAAGACTTGGAGATTAAGGCTTGATTGACGCTGGAGAGCGAACTTAAGGGTATAGTTGGGATTTGGAAAGGTTGAGAGAGTCTTGTGGAAGACAAGCAGATATACTGTAGTCAAGTATATACCTGTACTTTCATAATGCATAAAAGTAGATAGAGCCATGTATGTCTGGTAGACGTATGAAATAAAGACACTGGTAGTACTTTATAGACTAAATATTTATTATACACAAATTTTCGCCAGCAGTCTATGCTAGCTTCATCTGATGTAGTGCTTCATAATGTATTTTCTGTTAGCATTATTAAACACACTCCTGAAAAAAAAAAATGTTTAATTGATATACTGATGTGATAAATATATTGAATGAGACCATAATTGCAGATATGTCAAGAGATCAAAAGGTGGATTTAAAGTCATTGTAGAGATGCTAAAACCCATCCATCAAAACAACAATGCTATTGACGTTTATCAGCTCATCTTGTTACGCCTCAGAAATCATACCTGTCCTTCGAAATGTTAACAACGGATGAGCACCAGTAGTGATATTGTCGTTCACCTCAGCTATATTTTACCTCCCCAGGCTATTGTTATTTCAGTAGTATATGGCTTGTCTTTAGAGGTGATAGCAACTAGAAGTCAGCAATTGAACATATCTGTTTTTACAGCATATGATCTCCATGTACTTGTTTTTACAGACATATCTAGTTCATTTATCAATATCTTTTCTGAATATTATTTGAAATTCAGTTATGGAATGAAGTTTACACAATGCAATAAAAAAACAAACAGGAATGGCGATATATTTCAAGAAAAAGCTATCGTCTTTCCGAGTGGCAAAGTGCACTGGTTATAGAGCAAATGTATTTAATATAAAAATGTATTTAACTTTAGTCAGAAAGGCCAAAGATATGCCAAATTCTCTTCTGAGTGGTGATTCTCGGACCCTGGGATGGGAAGGCAAGCATCTTATAAGCTATTTAATTCCACTCCACAGTCAGTTTTTCCTTTCTTTAGCCTCATCAACCCCTTCACACACCATCAAGTTGTAACCCTATTAGCTTTCTTTTTATAGTCCTACTTGATAGACAGACCATTACTGTTTGTATTAAATATTTGGTAACAGCATGACACATTAAATAAAATTAATATGTCATACATATAGTAATAATAAACCAAAAAATAACCCAGAAATTTAACTTCAATAAATGACAAATTACCCAGAAATTTCACTTCATCAACTTGGGACCTTTGTCAAACTATCATTCATTGAGCACCAAAACTGTTGGCCTGTACACCAGAACTTTTTCTGTTCAATGTTGATCTCATCACCTATGCGGTCAAAAACTTTCCATGAACAGTGTATGACATGTTCCTACAAATATTTGTAGATTGTTGTTGAAATGTAAATCAAAGAAGATATGTTTGTTACTATAGTACTTTGAAGTTTTCCAGCCTCAGCAAGTTTTATAAACAGTACATTTCTAAAAACATGAATCAAAGTAGAACTGATACAGTAGTTTTACTACATGGATGCCCTGATTTTGGCTGTTGAACTTTCTCAGAAGGGCTTTGTAAAGTAGACTGAACAGCCAACCAATCATAAATCCCCATCTATGGTACCACTATATAAATGATTAATATGTCATGGAGACAGAGTCAAAGCTGTCTGGAAAGACTTTAAGAGTTGTTAATCAAAGAAATTAGTGACTGATTAGAATTGTTTTCATGTAGGACATACAGTACTTGCAGTGGCATTAGAATTAATTAGATGTGTTTATTTTCTAATAGAATGAAATTATCTTGACCTGTGGAGTAACATGTCCTTGATAATTGTATTTATGCTAGGTTTATTCTTTGTTTTTTTTTTTTTGGTTCTGCTCAACATATTTAAACTATAATTGCATGCATACAGTTATAGTAGAATGCTGTACCTAGAATTGAAGCTCTACAACATCTGTTTCGTGCCTTTCTGCAATAAAATAAAAGGATGCTAAAGCTTACACTATCTCTACTTGTATTTATTTTCTTCACATTTTGATACATGGCGGCCAAACTCTGTTCACTGTGCCAATGGTTCTCGGCTGATGCGATTCCATGGAGAATGCATCACAGAGGCATGCACAACGAATCATTAAAAGGACAATCTGCTCAGTAAGCAATTGACAATTAGCAGACGGCACTGTATCATCAAGTACTCACAGAGAGTATAAATAAATTTATCAGTCAACGGTCGTAATGTACGATAGTTTATAACGCAGTGCGTGCCCAACTCCAAAAATCTCTTCCAAAAGACTAGCATAGCAAATTAATTGTTTCTCATATTGTTATACATAAACTTGCATTTTCATCCTTTAGAAATATGAAAACTTTGAATAATTGTATATTTTTTGTTTTGTTTTGTGTTACAGAATTTGAAGTCTTTCTGAAGTGTGTGCGTTCTGGCAATGTGAATTTCCTCATGCAAGTAAACTTAACATACACAGATACCAACAATGTTACATCTTTGAATTTTAAACGCGAAAAAAATTGTAGAATAGGTAAGAATCACTAAAGTTTACATTTATTTATATGTCTACATTTGCTTCAGACTTACAGTACCTGCCCCTTCCATAAAAGAGTGCTAATTTGAGAACAATTCTGTTTGGATTTAATAAAAGTTTATACAGTATCATATTTTTTTTTAAATAATTTTTTTATGCCACATTTGGATCTGGATAATTTTAACGGCAACAAAATTAAGCAGGATTCCTTAACGTATTACATTGTGTTCATGCTAATATAGAAAGGATCTAGTTATTATTAAATTCCAATGAAAGAGCAACTGAATTTCCCACTCCTCCTGATAACATTCCTGACCACTGCCAGTAAAGAACCCATGTCTTCACATACTGTATATCCACCCCAATAACAGGGTTGTAGCTGTAGCAAACTAAGGATGGGTGATAGACATTTTAAGGGTGGATGGGTGATAACATTGCTAATGTCTAGATAATAAGAGTGGATTTTAAGTATGGCAAAGTGGGTTAATAAGGTTTGGGTGATGGGCCATGAAATTAGCTTTGGACTCGGAAAACTTCAAGACTGGGTGGTCCCACCTGCCCCCGCCCACCATAACTACATCCCTGCCCAGTAAGAAATTGCCCATCCCTGTTGAAATACAGTATAACCGACCTTTGCTAATTTGGCACTTACTGTAGGAAATAATTTATATCCCTAAAGGATTTGAATTATCATAATGTACAAAATAATTTATACACCTGAAGTTATGTCAATATGGGTTCCCCCAGAAAGGTTTTTGCTTCTGAACACTCATTTAGGCCTTTATGGTGCCATTCCAACAGATGTCGCTTGTGGTGCCGTTCCAAGAAAAAAGAGATTATTAAAAGAGAGTGCATCTTGATATAGTGACTTTAAACTGTCAAGTAATATTGTTTATGTTCAAAGAAAGTTTATTCCAGAAGCCTGGTCTAGCATTGCTAAAAGCCTGATCACCCCAGCTATGTTTGCTCCTTGGGATGTCTTTGAGCACTTGTTTGCTAGATCAATACTGTACATTTTAGATGCTAAACTGATACAGAATTGTCAAAAACCTAAAAGTAACCAACAGATGTTTGAGATATGCACAACTCCAAATGTAGCACAGACAAACCCTAGTAGTCATATTCTCACCTTAAAAAATAATTGCTTTAAATGGTGGGAAAATTCATTTAAAGGTAAATTTTTCCCATTATATACCTGTAATTTACTGCAGCGCAACACTTTCGGAATTAAAATGACGACTCAAAGGATTTCAAAACCGATTCGATAAATGATCACTAATGATTTATCAGTAATTTTGTTTATTTTATTTTATATTTTGAAAAAGAATTCTAGAGGAGAGACTAAAATGGGAGAGAGAAAATGAGGATAGAGAAAATAAAAAGGACCTGTCCAGAATAACCACTTTTGTGGAAAATCAATAGTCTACTCTATCTGTTAATTGCTGTAAATTATATTTTCTTCCTATAATGTTTTCTCAATCATAAATATAATTTAATGTGAGATTACAGATGTTCTAATATTTCTTGATTATTCAAGGTGAATTGATTCAATACCACAGGAAAAAATAAAATTCAAACAATGATCGCATTTAGCTATATTTATGCAGAAACAGGGAAATCACTCAATTCAATTCACAATTTTCCATGAGTTAATGTGTTGGAAAATTATGGATTTCCGATTCAGCCCCCAGGCTGAAAATCTCAACCAGCCTTTTTATGAAGTCACAACCATTCGCCTAGTGTGGATTGACACTGAAATCTGGCCTGCTTTTAAAATAGATTATGAACTTGCAATGTAGGCTAGCCAAGCTCAAAGGTAACCTTTATAAAGCAAGCTTTTAAAGTGGTTGGCTGAGAGAGGTATTGTTCTTGCTTCTTGTGCTGAAAACCCCAGTTCAAACCTGGCCAGTGTAAGGTTTTCATTGCTTGGCTTTTTGAATAGCTCTTATATTGAGAGTTTAGCAGGGAAAGGGACCAAGTTTGTATTCGGTTATTTGTTGTAGTCGGGTTGCGCTGCAGCTGTCGCAGGTCCCATGTATTCAGCCCAAATTTCCGATTTCCAAAGAATGAGAAAAATAAAAATGTTATTATTATTATAAAAAGATAGCCTATCCAAGCTTTTTGATGTACAGTATATACTAAGTGTGAACTTTGGCTATAAATTATAAATATATTTTTTATGGATCTCTTTTAAAAAGGTTGGGTGTACCAATAAGTCTTGGATAAATAATATACCAGGGATTTAAAATGTTTTGTACCCCTCAGTATTGGTTGTATTTCGCATCCATCAGTCACTGACAGAAGTGAACAAGATTATCATGGATAAAGGCTAAGATTTTTTTAAATCTCATTCCAATCAAATGTTAGTCTTCTATGGTAACATAACGTGTACTAAAACCAGATATTTATCAAGAGATGCCATACTGCATACAGTATGATGATCAATGCTGTCTTAATGTGGCTCCAAAAAAAAATAATAATAATAAATTGACCTTACACACCCAAATAAAAAATATCATTAATTACAATAATTTTTGCATAATCAATAATACAGGAACAGTGAGGGTAAAGCCTTCTAAATATATATCATAAATACAAAATTTGTAAGTTTTATTATTAATTTTTAAAAATATATAAGAATTGAATGATTTCATTTCATTTCAATGTTTTATTTTAAAATCAGATCAATACACAATAAATTCAATTAAATAGAATAACATTGTAATATAAAAATATTGTTAAATAAGCAATTTAAAAATAAAGTTATAATAACGCATCTGTCATTGAAGATTAAAAAGGGTTAAGTAAAATACAGTAGGCAAATGATATGAGATAATAGTATAGAGAAAACAAATTGTTGTGGGTGTTTTTTTTAGATACCAACATTTGAATGTGTTTATTGTATGGGTTTTTTTTTTGTTTGTTACAATTACCATTGCAAAAACTTGCCATTAAATGTTTATCAATTGTATATCAGTTTCCGTTCCATAATCGAAAGTTTTTAAAACTGTATTTCAACAATTTGTCTAGACTTCACTTCATTGTACCATTATCTTGCTTGATCTACAGTACTGTCGTCAACATCCTCTGATCAGATCATCACAGACAATTTACAAATTAAAAAAAAAAATATCCATACTTTTATAATTGACATGTGACAGGTGTTTGAGATTTATTGAACTGGCGTTACAAATAATTTATTTCACTTTAGCTCGTAAATCATCTATTATCCTAAAATGTGGGCATTAAAAACATGGTTTATTTGTGACTCGTCAAATGAAGGTTTTGTTGCATAAAAGTTGATAATATGAGTCACACTGGTCAGACGGTTTTTAACATATGGTGTAAATGATGAAGAATCTATGATTATTCAACATTGGCAGTGTAAAACTTTCTGGTTGATGTACATTTTCAGGGAATAAAATTTAAAATTACTGATGTCGCAATTGTCAAATTCCGATAGATGAAAGTGTGTGTATGTATGGATTAAGTCAAAACTTTAGACAAAAATCTACTTCAAAATCATGTTCCACTAAATCTAAAGACAATAAAATTGATAAACATGAAGGTACAGTAACAACAAAGACTTTATCAGGCATTTGTTTCTGTTGAGTAAGTGTTTTATAGGTTTATTTGTTTCAAAAACATCAACTGGTATATTTAATATACAGTGCAGTAAATTCAACATAAAATTGTATGTAGCCTACATTTTTTTTTGTCTCTTTTTTTTTTATAACTTTAAACCCCTAAGCAATAGTATGTCAATTTAAATTTATGAAAGGACAAATAAATTCCACTCTAAACTAAGGTAAAGCCAATACATCCAAAGATAGCTAAAATAGATTATATAAATATTTATATCCTTTTTACTTGTCACCATTGTATATAATAATAATATGTTATATTTATATAGCGCTCAATGCCAACAAGGCCTCTAAGCGCTTCACATTACTACCCTCTGTCATTGGATTAGACGCCTATGGAACACAAACTGTTCCATAAAGTTGCAGCAGCTACATCAGCGCATTTTGGCACTTAACCCTACCAGGTACCCATTTATACTCCTGGGTGGAGAGAAGCAATGTAGATTGTGCCCAAGGACACAATCTAAATGCACAGCGAGGGGATTGAAACCCCGACCTCGAGGTTGGGAAACCAAACTGTTCCCACTGCGCCAAACCACTTCTATAATGCTCATTTGTCTGGTTGCATCAGCCTATCCCTGTTATTACCTAACTAACATCAATGGTGGTGCCAGCGGGGAGGCAGGTAGAGAATTTTCCCCCATCAGACAGGCCTGGATCCCCGTCGTTCAATGCCACAATCAAAAGTATTATTATATTTTTACCATCCAAATAACATCAGTTTGATTGGCGATCCCTAATATTGTGGTCTAAAACAACAAATTTGGGCCATACTAAAGCCATAAAAATTCTCCCCATGAACACTACTGTACCGGTAATTTTTATTCCGGAACCCTGTTTGAGGCTCTAGTTGGCCCTTGGTTTGGACCCCGCTGTCGAACGCCTCAGACCCCATGTCGTCAAATTTCAAATATCCCTAATAGGAGAAACCTGTTTTGTATCTTAGAGAGAAATGCTATTTCAACCTACCATCATTTTCTTCTCTCTTTTTTTCAGGGAATAGCAGCTCAGTAGGTGGCCTAGGCACTGATGATAATGGTAAAGTATTTTCTATTTCTTGACTTGATATTTGGATTGATGTTTTCTGATGGTTCAAATATTTGTGCAAGAATTTTGGCTCATGAATGACAGTGCAAGCAGGGGTCAGGGAGGAAGTTGCTTCTCCATCCATTATAAACAAGCATTGATCACTGCTGTTGAACTCCACTTGGGGCCGGTTCAATCAATACTCCATTAGTCTAAATGTACAATTTCTGCCGTTCTATAAACCATAGAATATCTATTCATAACTACCCAAGATATCCCAGTATGGCCCTGGCTTTGTACTACCTATGAAAAAATTGAATGATTCCCCCCCCCCCCCCACTTATCACCAAAATTCTTAAGCAATCACCAGGTCATTCTTTTTGAAATGCTCATGCCACACCAGTACTGTACTGTTTAAAAGCAGGGGATCAAATATTGGTGTTGCAGTAAAATGTGACGGGGAAAAATTTTCAATGCCAAAAACAGCTGGTTATAAGAGACAGTTCCACACCAGTACTGTACTGTTTCAAAGCAGGGAATTAAATATTGGTGTTGCAGTAAATTGTGACGGGTAAAAATTTTCAATGCCAAAAACAGCTGGTCTGAGAGTTCGTTTTTGGGCATGAGGTGACATAACCTAGCTGAAATGCGTGTAGCCCATCTGTGGGGGAACGATAAACCACCTGTCGGGATGCTAGGTGGTCATCAGTCGATGCAATCTATGAAAAACGCAACACAATGACGAGTGTGCAATGAGTGTGAGTGTGTGTCCCTTCAGAATGCCACTACCAATCAGCAGACAGCGTCGCATCGTCTGGCGTTCATAGGGAGCGGAGTTGGATTCCTCATGCGACCGTTGTACGACTGTCATACGATGCAGTGAGTGCCCACCCTAATATCACCACTATATAAGCCAATGTACTAATCAACGTCTACCAAAAAATTATAATCTGCAACAACCGAATCTTCAATGTTGTGATCTTTTCATCGGGGACACTACCTACAGAGTGTTGTTGTTACGGCTCATAATTAACTTTTACATTTTTTGGCAAATCGCTAAAGTTGTTGACTAGAATCACTCTTCTAGGAAAGAGGAGGTTTATTGGTGAAGTTGTTCAATGTTAGATAAAATGAGATAACAATTACCAGAATAGTCTCGGATAAAAATACTATTCTTGAAATCTTGGAAAAATAAATATACTTCCACAAAATTGGACAACTTTCTAACATATGTATTTTTTTAATCAGAATAAGTGGAAATTAAGAATCTCAGCCAGTAAGTCACATTTCTGCTAAGCTTAGTTCTGCTATGCTCTACTCTGACTGTTCTATGGCTTACTTCTAGGATATTTTTTAAAAGTCACCTATTAGATAAATGGCAAGAGCATCTAATTTGATACTGCCTCAAGGAAGAAATGGAAACGAGAATTGCGATCAATCTGTAACTTTGACAGCAAGAATTGATTTTCATATCTGTTCTCCATTTTTTTTCAGATGACCCGTCACACGACGACAGTAATCTGACCACTACTAAAGTGTTCTACATTTCTGTCGGCGTCGTTTCCAGTTTCATTCTCCTGTTTGTGTTCCTTGTCGCATTTATTGCGCTTCGATCCATTGTCAGAAATCAACATTATCCACCGATGAAGTGAGTTTACGATTAAAGAGGTTTCGGTATAGCTAGAGATTCGCAATCTCAACCGTAGGAAATTATTTGAATGCTAATACAATAATACTATTATTGTGAATATTCTGCTCGATTATGAGTTGTTTTAACCTAGCAGGTGGTAACTCAAGAAAGTTCCAGTTCTGATAGGAAAACAAGATTTAATCAGGATTATAATTAGAAAAAGAGCAGGTTTAATTCAATTTTGAGTTAAAATTAATTTCAAAAATATATTTTTTCAAGCAACCTGAAGTCTGAAAAATAAAAAAAAACTTTGAAAATACAAAATACAGTTACTGCAGGAAATATTTTTGTATTTAATATAATTATTTAATATGATGATATTTTTTTTTTAGGCTATTTACAAAATTTATTTATTTGTCTCAATGCTGTACATTAAAATTTACAAAAATTAGATTTAGATTCAAACAAAAGACTAAGACATCCCAAGAGTGAAAAAAAACACCCCTGTTTTATGTTTGGCCCTTTTTCAGAGAGACATAAACATGCAAATAAAATAAGGTATAATAAATCATTTTAAGATAAGTCATGAAGATCGCCCTCTATAAAGAAAGACTCATGAACTGATAATGCAGTACAATACTGTATGAGGAAGTCTGAGAGAGACCTCCACAGTTGTTCGGAGGTACTGTAGTGCACCAGACAACAGAAACTATATTTCTAGTGTGTCCAACATATTTTGTCCTGTTAACTTAGTAGACCAGTTGTTGTTGTTGTGTGAGGGCATAAAAAGAAAAAGTAAATACTAATTTTAAGTTTAGATGAAAGTACCTAAATTTATAGATGCAATATTTAACTATTGAGGTTATTAAGATTTAAGGATTCCAGCAGCACATACTTTCAGTGCTACTGTAGGCCATTGCAATATAGCTTTGAAATTGTATTATTTTTTTTAAAGTTTTTTTTTTGTCTTGATAACATATTTCTTTACTCATCTGCAGTTCTTACACCACATGTACATCCAGCAGTGCAGGTGTTTTGAACAACTCTGTCAACAGTGTTTACTCAAAGCCACTGACAAATGGTGGAATACCAAATGGATCAGGTGATTCTTAAATTCATTATTATATCAATTACTAATAACTTGATAATAATGATCGTAAATGCAGTGGCATATCTAGGAGTATTAAAAAGGGGAGGTTGATGGTGGGGCCATGAAGATGAAGTGGGGGCCCTCGATGATTAAGTGATGGGGTGCAAGCTGGCAAAATAAGGTGTTATGAGATGATTTTTAACTACAGTCCTTGAGCATGATTTTTTAACTTCAATAAATTGTAGTAGAGGGGTAAGTTTTTTTGGGTGTGGTGTTGTGCGTACTATTATAGATATGCCACTGTAGCGTATTGGCAGGCTAATGGTCCTTTCCACTAAGCCCCGCCCCTTGGATATTGTTACTAAGGTCCAACAATTCATGTTTTCATGTGACGTTTCAAGATAGGGCATTTTTTTATGGTAGAGGGAAGAGAGTTCAACATCACAGGGTCATAGAAGAATATAGTAGATTTTTCAGGAGCAGTACGAGCATACGCAAATGCGTGCGTTTGTGGGACAACACACATGCTTGTTAGACACGCACATATTCCTGGTGCTGTTCTGATTGGTCAGTTGAGTTTGATGACATTCTGGAAAGATCCATTCTTCATTAGTGTATTAAGGCTAATATTAAATTTCAAAGATCTTCTTTATGTCAATTATTATCCATCCCAAAGTTACGTAGCTTTCTAAATCCAATTTTCCTTCAATCTTTCCTCTTCATAAAGCTCAACTTTTTTTGTTAATATACTCTTAATGTCAATTAAGATCAAAAGACAAAAGTTGCAGGGGTCATTATTATGCATAAACACAAGATGCATAATTTAAATCAAAAATCCTACTAAGCAAATTTAGAGTTACAGCTAGTGCAAAAATAGTAAATTACGATTAATTTTTTATAAACACTCAAACAAAGGACCAACCTAATTTTCTTTCTAAATCTTCTCCTTCTCCTTTTCAGTATTTACAAATTGTAATTTATAATAACTAACAATATAAACTACAGCCTTGGCACAGGTCTAGTCTAACATCTTCCAGCGCCAGTGACAAGCCAGTTTTTTTTTTTTTCTTTAATTGGCGCTTTAAAATGTGTTTGTATTTTTATTATTAAATACTATTGATTGATTTTTTTTTTTTTTTTTTTTAATTTTTTTTTGTTAGTGGGAGATGTATTTTTAACTATAAATAAATGTTAATTCATAAATTTTCAAAAGAAATGTGTTGTATACAGTTGGGAGCTATTCTTTTGTTGGGAATCATAACATGAACTGTTCTAGATTACAGTAATTTTCTGTTTTAGTTTATATAATTGATGCATAGAAAAAGTAAATTTTTCTGCACATCAGATATATCAATTTAATTTCATCATTATTTTTAAATGGACAACTTAATTTTTAAATTGATTTTTTTAAATAATTATGTTTGCAATTTTACACATCCTAGCTCAAAGTTATAATGTACTATCCATCTATTCATACCTTTCCTTATATTTTACATTTTCTTGACCGTGACCGTTTTTTCAGGTAAATTAATTTTTAATTTTAGGTAAATTATAAAATAATTGCTTATATTGTTTCCTCAGTATGTGCTGGGAGTGTTCATAGCTATATGCCTGTACCGCAGGAACCAATGGAGAACATCAAGAACCGATTACGTCCCATTGCTGTCGATAAAACACAGATCACCATTGGGACCATGCTGCTTGAGGGGACGTTTGGACGTGTGTACCAAGGAATTTACCAAACTTGGAATGAAGAGGAGGAGAAGATAGAAAAAGAGGTGTTTATTAAAACAGTAACAGGTGAGCTGAGGCATATAATTAATGACCATAATTCAGTAAATCTATTTTGAATTCATAATGAAATGAGTGTCTAGACCATAGGTACTATATTTAGAATGATCATCATCTTCAAACCACCTGTTTTAGCAATATAGAAATGTATCTAATCTATCTCATTAGAGTTTAATTATAGTTAAGTATTTTTGCTGACACTTTGCCTGTGTCATCATTTAGCTTTTTAAGGTCGAGATTGATTATGAAAATAAATGTTAATAATTAAATCCAGGCTCTCAATGCGAGCGACAGTCATCAGCCGACGTGATTCTATGAAGAACGTAACACCACAACACATGCGCAAGGGATCTTTTTTAATAAAGATTTATTCAGACTGCAACCGACAATCAGCAGACTGCGCTGCATGGTTTAATGCTTACATGAAGCGTAGTTGGATACTACCGTCATAGAATACAGTGAGTGTCCTTTAAGGGTGTCGGTTGCAATGCACTTTGTTAGTTAGTTTGAGTTCTTTTTAGTAGGATTGCATTCTTTATCACACATTTTTTTTTCTCTGTGTTTAGATCAAGCATCTGATGAGCAAAGAAATTTGTTAATAAAAGAAAGCTGTATGCTGAAGGGCTTAAGCCACAAGAACATCCTTCCAATCCTATGCGTGGCCCTGCAGGACGAGGCTGCTCCTATGATCATGTTCTCATTCATGGGGTTAGGAAACCTGAAACAATTTTTGAGAAACGGCAGAATAGGGCCAGGGGATACTCATCAGGTATGTTGATAACCAGAGGCATTCCCCCAGAGAACCAAACTCTTGGTGGCAGCACAGGCTGTTGCTACGCCCGTGGCATGCGCTTGGGCCGTGGTGGCATGAAAGCATTGGTACGGAATGGGCCTGGCCTAGGACAAAATACATTGATTATGTGAAAGTCTGTGAAAAATAATTTGCAATCAGTATTAACTATGATGATTTCTGAAGGTAGTATTATAAGCATTTAATATAGAAATATAACCAAGTTCCATTGAAATGTTGCAAATACATTCAGTTTTTGATTCTTGATTTCTCTCCTGGGATCTAATAGCTGAATCTTGATGTTGTTATACAAAAAAAAATGCACTTTTCTCGGCAGATTGGTTCTCGAACAAGATAATGAAAACTCTCTATTGTAATCAGAATTGCCACGTAATCAATATGACGTGGTATTTACCATAATATCCAATTTATTTTGTTATTGATGTTATTTATAATTTCCATTATAATTTTATATTTAAACAAAGTTAGCCAAACTTAAGAGAATTCCCTATGGATTTATTGAAGCTTGTTTCATATGTGACAGCTGTGAAAAGCTGCCCACACTCATCAGGTACAAAATGCTGCCCAGATACAAATTATGTGTTTTGCCTGATGAGTGCAGGCAGCTTTAGACAGCTGTCCAACAAAACAAGTTTGTAGCAATCAATGCATATAAAATACTTAGCTAGTCTTGAATTTGTTGGATTTCACACCCAACCAGTTCCGCACTCTCATCTATGATGATTTAAATAAAGATACCTTCATAATTTTTTTACATTTTATTTATCATCTTTAGTATATTGTTTTTCTTTATTTATTATGAAAAACCATAGAAAACTGACATATTTATTTGTTGTAACTGCTTTTGTTCTTGTTAATGTTATTATTGTTTTGATATAAATTGCCCTATGTGCTATATAAAATATGGCATGTGTTTTTTTTTCCCATACATGTTCATATAATATTCTTTCTCATTAAATTTTTTAACTGCCTTCCAAATCTCCAGGCGATATCCACCAGAGACTTGGTATACCTAGCTAATCAAATTCTGGAATTCTTGTTCATGTTCTTGTTAATGATGTTAACATTGATTTTGATGTAAATTATATAATGTGTGCTATATATAATATGCCATGTTTTTATCTTTCCCATAAGTGTTCATATAATAATCTTTCTCATTCAATTTCTTAATTGCCTTCCAAATCTCCAGGCGATATCCACCAGAGACTTAGTATACCTAGCTATTCAAATTACGCATGCATTGATGTACCTGAGCAAGAAAAAAGTCATTCACAAAGACCTAGCAACAAGGAATTGTGTGTAAGTTAAATTTGGTTGTTTTAATAAATCATTAATCATCTGTCAGATCAATCATCAATTTTCAACCAACCGACCATTCAATCAATCAGTCAGTTATAGTTATGTTGTCTTGAAAAAAAAAATCTCATGTATTTCACTGGATTTGAACCTAGAACCCTGGGATTATTAGGTGAGCATCGACACCACCAACCTACAGCTCATCTACTATAGAATTCTCACTTTTTTTTATAGATTTTCAAAATATTTTCCCCAATGTTGTACTATTTTGATGTAATGTATTTTTTTGAATGAAGCTGATTCTAAGGCTCTTTCCTGATTTTTCAATTTCCTTTTGACATAAAGCTGATTCACATATATAATCATGATGTGCCTATATATATGGTCATGATGTACCTATATATGGTCATGATGTACCTATATATGGTCATGATGTACCTATATATGGTCATGATGTACCTATATATGGTCATGATGTACCTATATATGGTCATGATGTACCTATATATGGTCATGGTGTACCTATATATGGTCATGATGTACCTATATATGGTCATGATGTACCTATATATGGTCATGATGTACCTATATATGGTCATGATGTGATGTCAAAATGACCATATTTAGGCATGTCACATGTTTTTGTAATAGTCTGGACAGGACTTTACACAGAAAATTTCTTCATGTTTTATGAGAATGAAACAGTTACAAGTTCACAAGTGATTGACATTTATTTTTAAAATCCAAATCTCCAACTTGACCTGTCGTAATCAAAATATTCATAGGTTCAGTTCTAAATTTTTTTCCGTTCGTTCATGTACAACAAATTAAATTCCTTGACTTGCCATCAACTGAATGTATTCACAGATGACCGGAGCGGACGGTGAAAGTAATGCTGGCTGTCGAACTGATGGTTGAAATGATCTGTCCCTCGGGCTCGGTGTACGATAGTTAATAGCCGGCAATCGAGTGCAATAAAAAATTTTATTCCATGCAATCCAATAGTTAATCCAAGATCAGCTTTAAAGTGCCGGATTCTTTCTTTTGTATTAGCGTTAAAGCTGATTTAGATAGATATAGGAAGTGAGGATGTATACGCTGTTTTTTTAATGCAGTCCTCAAATCCAACATGTTACGAAATAGTCAAAATTTTTCAAGATGGCTTCAGAAATAATTGGAATTTAAAGATATTCAGTCTATATTATAATCCTGAAAATACCTAAAAAAAATGCAGCCAAAGCTAAATGTGGGGAGTGAAAATGTATATGCTGTTTTCGAGCTGTTAGTAGATGAGCAAATTTTTGTTTATTCTGTTTGAATTTTATTTGAATTTGAATATATTTTTCCAGATATATATAAAGCCTAGTTTCCATAAAATCGCTACACTGTCACTACAGTGTTTTCAGTGCAGTCGTTGTATTGCGTAGCAATCCCACGCGCAATCTCGAAGGCTCCAAAATTTGACTGGCCGATCCTGTCGGAGATAGCTTGTAGCAATTGTATGGAATAGAATCAAAATACAATTAATTGAAAGTAGTGGTGTATCTATTGGGGGGGTGCTAATAATATTTAAAAAATACTCGTGCGCCCAGTCATCCCCACCTATCCCATATTGTGAGCCAGTGTCCTCTCACCTAATCATCAAAACCCCCACTTCACTTTTGCACCCCAATCAGGGCCTCCGCACCCCAATCAGGGCCTCTGCACCCCAATCAGGGAATCCCCCCCCCTCCCACCACATTTCAAGAATCCTATATACACCACTGATTCAAAGCTAATAATGTTTGAAAAGTAAGAAAAATAAAATATTAATTCGTCTATGTGGTGGATATGAATTTGCTTGGTGGTTAAGATCCTTACCTTTCAATGTCAGAATCCTGGGCTCAATTACTGTGACAGCAAAATTTTTCTTACGACTGAAAACAACTCCACAAGCCTTATTATGAGACCAGCTTTTAAAGCATAAACTGGATACTTGCCATCAAAAACATTGTATTTTTATAGTTTGCTTGTTACGGAAATACACAAGATCATATATCTTTGATGTCCTCTGCCAGACACTTCATCTCCTGTGATTCTAATTACCACTTTTTTATCACCTTATTACTGTAATACTATACTTTGGTACAACATATGTTTTGATGTTGATTCTATAAAAAAGAAAAAAAGAAAAAAAAAGCTTTAGTTCAATGTTTTATTAAGATTAGAGTAACAGGAGAATAGGAAAACATCAGATAAAAATAAAGATTTTAAAATGATATTATATTTTCTGATGTATTGAGAGATTCAGAAATATTCATGTGGTGTACCACAAATTTAAAATATTGTTTATCTGCCATGCAAACCATTAATCAGTAATACTTATATGTTTCTAATATGGATGAAAATGAAAATATATGGATAATTATGTAATTTTTTTTACACCACCAAGGAGCATGTCAACAGAATTAAATTAGTTTAGAACTCGGGGTTGGTTTTCTATTGGGCTTTTACTACTAAGCTCTGGCTCTTGGATGTTGTTGAAGGTCCCGTAAAACAACAATGTGAAAACATGCGCAAACACATGCATTTGTGGGACAGTGTGTGTGTTTATGAGACACACACTTATTCTTAGCGCTGTTCTGATTGGCCAGTTGTTGACTTTGATTGACACTCAGGAAAGTTCCATTCTTCGAATAAAAATTTTATACAAATTCCTAATTTTATATATACCAGAAAATAAATAGTTGAATAAAAGTTCATTCATTTTCACTATGCCATAAAATATTTTTGAAACCAACCAAAGGAAATATAGAAAAGTAGAGGAGCCATCATAACCACCCTTTTTTACCAACACTTTGAAGCCCCCATTAAAGTAACATAAGCCTTATATTTTTCGTTGAAATAAATTTGTACAGTTTCACCTGTCCTATATTGAGATGTAATCAGCACCGTGACATGCAATATAAGTTACGTGCGATCAAATCTCACTTTATGAGTCTGCGGTGTGATGGTGCACATAATTTAGCACGTACCTTGATTACACATGTGTCAAGTTACTTACATTGCATGTTTAAATTATCCCAACACATTTCAAACGAGTTCTGCTGTGATTGTAACCGTTTATATTTGTTGGTCGATATAAATTGCTATTTTTTACGATAATGGACTTGACTTTTTAGTTCATTATCATGAAAGTTGGCTGTTATGAAAGTCATTATCTTCATTTTCCTTTTGTGTTTTATTTTCCTAGTCCTTCTACATACTCTTTTTCGACCATTTAACTGGAAGTCTCGGCTATAACCGGAAAAACAAATTCAAGATGAACAGCAGATATAAATGTTTTTGTTAAGGTTTTCATTTTAAATTCCGGGAGCAGAATACTAAATGGAGGGAAGTTTTTCATGCAATTAACTTATAAAATCAAGGAGACAGAAACATTTTATGTGGATCTACTAAATAATATATTTTATTTATTTTTTTGACATAAATATCAAAAAACAAATGACATTGAAATTGAAAACCAGCCATATACAAACATTACAAGCTTACCTATACTTTATGTCCTTGAAGCAACTCCTCAGGATTCCATAATAATGTATAGGTATTGTTGTAGTTGAAATCCAATTAGAATTACTTAGCGTTTCACATCCCATAAAGGAATGTCGGCTAATGATGTTACACTGTGATGTCATTTGTGAATAGCACCCTCAGGAGGAAATGTTGTTTTTTTTTTAGATAACTTATTGGGTTTGCCTCTCGTTTGCATTCATTAGGCAGTGTTTGCCTTCTTTCATTTTTATCTAAATGGATTCTCTGTTCCATTGTGTAGTTCAAATGTTATTTCTTGCCTCTGAAGCTGTCCAATTAGAGCAAAAGAAAGTTAAGACGAGGTAACTAAACTAAGAATAATATAAGAAACGAGAGCTACTTTCCTGGATAGATTTTAAACTGCACAAATAAAATCAGCCATTGTAATACACAATGCTACCAGTTGCAGCACATGCTGGGGTCAGGGAGTGCAGTTTGACACCATATCGAGGTCATCAAAGGTCATAAATATATTAATTTATTATTGTGGTCTGAAAACTTATGATTATAATTATCATTATCCAACTCTTTACTCTTCTTTCAGAATTGACGAACATTATAACTTGAAAGTAACAGACAATGCACTTGCTAGAGACCTGTTCCCGGGGGACTACCATTGCCTGGGAGACAACGAGAACAGGCCTGTAAAATGGATGGCAATTGAGAGTATAATTCATAGGAGTTTCACCCCTGCAAGTGATGTGGTAAGTTTGAGAATACTGTATTTTGACTATTACAGTATAAAGTATATAGATAGATATATAGAGTACACAGTCTGTGGAGAAATAATATGGAAAACTATGAAATATAGAATAGTTAATTTGTGGGAGTGGGTGGTGCAACGCCTGTGTTTCGGGCTGTCAAACTTGAGGTCTGGGTTTTGAATATTCGGTGTGCATTTCGCTTATGTCCATGGACAAGGCATTTTTCCACATTGTCTCCACCCAGGAGTATAGTAAGTGGGTATTTGGTAGGATTAAGGATGCAAAATGCACTGATTAGCTGCTGCAGTGTTATGGTATACTCACCCCAGGGAGCTCAAGTATGTGTTCCATAGGTGTTAATTCCAATGACTGGGGTAATGATATTGTGAATCTCATAGAGGCAATAGCATGATGCGTTATTCTACCATTATTATAAGTAAAGTAAATTCTTGCTGAGCCAAGATACTCATATTGCTCGAGTTTATCCCCAGTTTCAAGTAGCGTGAAGCAGATGAGAGTGTGATGCTCCTCCTGGGTGGGATGCTGGTCCATTGCAGGGTACTCCCAGCAATTTATTGGTACCCATTGATACAGCTGGGTAGACTGAAGTAATGTAGATAAAGTGCCTTGCTGAGAGACACAAGCGAAATGCACAGCGAAGGATTAAAACTCTGACCTCGAGGTTGGAAAACCAAACCATTTCCACTGCACCAAACTGCTTCCACCATTATTCTAATTATCATTAAAATATCTCAATGCATTTGGAACTCAACACCCAAAGTGTTACACTTTTTACTTCAATCCTATTCTGTTTTCTATATTTTAAATAGAAGTAATATTTTGTATATACAAGAGATGTACCAGTAAATTTTGTATCAAATTAAAGCTAAAATATTAATGAATAATTATTTAAGGTCTTGAATATAGGCAGAAAGGCGATCAATCCAAATGATCAAGTCAGGCAACTCAGTGATCTTTTGTCAGATTATTTGAGAAAATGTATACATGAGAGTTTGAAGGATAAATAGTGTTGCAAAAATCAGTAAGTGATGCAAAAGTCAGTGAGCTTTAAAATACAGGGCGATATATAAACATTTCAGGCTTTTGTGATTTAGAGACTTTTTTCTTTAAAAAGTCCTATAATTGATGAAAGTACCATCCAATTTAATGATCTAAGCAAAAAATATAAGAACAAATTTTCTCATTCTAATTAATTAAACATTCAATGTAAACAATTTAAGTTTTTTTATTTTTTTTTTTTATTTTTTTTTTTTCATTTTTTATCAAGACAGACAATGTATCCTTAAGCTAGATATTAAAAACATCTTTCAACTTAATGACTGGTGGTTGCATAACAACAGAACAGTTGCGTTATGTTTGTTGCTATAATAGCCCTGTATTACAGTTTATCACCACTATTTGTGTCATTTATTTACATTAATGGCTTAGTATTGCCATAGAATTACCTCACTAAACAAGTTTAATGTCACCATATGTAAAGAAAAGCTAGCATAAAATGTTATTTATGTTGTACTTGCAGTGGGCATTTGGAGTGACATTATGGGAGCTAATGACGCTTGGCCAGACACCTTACATCGACGTTGATCCTTTTGAGATGACAGCGTATCTAAAGGCTGGTTACCGCATGGCGCAACCACCAAACTGCCCAGATGAACTGTAAGTTGGTTGGTTCACTGATAGATTGATTTCAAATTGCTACAGTGCTCTTGTTCTGGTGTTGTAGTTGCAATCCAATATAAAAGTATTGGAACCTATATATTTTACTTTCATTAAATATATTGCAGTGTATTAAAAGAATTATTCATTATTTTTTTTATTAACTTTTTTTATTAATATAATGTAGTATGTTATTTAATCTATGTTTGATGGTTCAAATCCTGCTACAAGTTTCAGGATTTTTCCCATCAAGAACAATGTCTCTCCCTAAAGCCTTGTCCAAACTATCAAATTTTTTTTGGCAAAAACATGTGACATGCCTAAAAATGGTCATGATGACATCACATCATGACCATATATAGGCAGATCATAACTATATATGGGCATACAACCGTTTTTTTCCTAAGAAAATTTGATAGTATGGACAGAGGTTAAACCTCATATAAATGGGTTTACATTGAATTCATTTTGACCAAGACCTCTTGAAATTCATACTGCTAGATTAAGTACACATTAGGTTTTAGCGAGACCATGGATAAAAAATATTCACCATGCATATGGACTGTTATAAAGTCAGGCTCTAGAGGAAAACATTTTGATATGTTGTTGATAGAATTGTTTTTCACACAAGACGCAAAAACCATATTTGATGAAAAACTCGGAAGCGGTTAATGAGATACTGACTTTAGAATTTTTAAAAACTGGGGGAAAAGGCCGTGACCACCCCCTCCCCCTCAGTTTTTAAGTATTTAAAAATCTGTATCTCATCAACAGCTTCCAAGTTTTTAGTCAAAAATGCTTATCATGTTTTAGAAAAATCAGTTCTACAGCATATAAAAAAAAAAAATTCCCTCCGGAGACTGGCTTTAAACGTACAACCATTATGCTCTAATATGAAAAATATGAATTTTTTATAGTGCGCATTTAAATGTAGATGAGTCAAATTTGAAGTTAAGCTGTAGGTGCACAATTGTACATGATATATTTTTATTATGCACAATTGCACTGCTCTTGTAAGATTCAACCAAGTTTCACTACTCACAGTAAACTTATCCACTTGGGATAAACGGCCTGGTTATTTTTCCTGGGCAAAATTTACTTGGTTAAGCTTAACCCTCAGCTTTGGAAATTTCATCAAGTGAAATGCTTCACAAGCTATTTGCACTGGACATAGTTTTAATTAAAGAATGTTTATGCGAGCTAGTCCACACCTCAAGCACTTTGAGACTTCGGTATAAGGCGCTATTTTGATTTTAATTAACTGTTTTTTATTGTTGATCTGTAAATGTAACTTACAAATTGGCCATTGGCCATGATTATGTTACCAATTTTGATGAATTTATTAATAAAGTGATTCTAAACACAATGCATCATAAATGGGAAGATGCAGTATGTTGTATTTAATAGAGCACCAGCCATATTGTTCTATATATCTACAATAATTTATTGTATTAATATTTATAATTAATTGAAAAATACTATTAACACTGGATATTAAATATACGCCATGTTTCTTTCAGATTTTCGTTGATGGCTTATTGCTGGGCACTTCTTCCCCAAGATAGACCGATGTTTACTCAACTCTGCTCTGC